AAGGTGGGTCAGAATAGCTGACACAGCAGCCGAGACTGCAGCTTGAAAGGTAGCTGCATCAATCTGGAGGGTTGGTGCTTGGTTGATGGGTTGCTCGTCTTTCTTTGGCGACATGATTCTGTTTCACGGAAAGAAAATGAGTTTGTGAGCGGGCATGGTTGAACCTAGACTTAATTTGACTATTTAAGAAAAGAATAGAAGTATGTTCTCGTGAGTTTGACCTACATCCCTATGATGCAGTCCTAGTAATGAGTAGAAGTAAGTTCCTAGAATGGTCTCAAGACGTTTGACGTTCGAGCTGAGGTATCGGGGTTGGTGAATAACAAGATCCAACCACTGAAAGAGACTTGGAAATGTCTCAGGAGATAAATCACCATAGTCCAATGACTTGACTAAAGCATGTTTCAGATAGACTCCAATGAAGGTATGATAAGAGTACTTAAATGAAGAATGACACAGAGGTTAGCCGGCTGTCAATATCTTTGATATTCACGATGTAAAGATTCTGGAAATTGACCTTGTAAAGGTCTTACATCATATCCGTAGAAGATAGTTCCCGACATCATAAAGACCTAGCTAAAGTACTTACGGAACAAGATAATTTCATAGAAAATGCCACATCAGGCATAGACAGAAAAACACGATTCCTTTTTATAAGGGAAATAAAGTAAAGCGTCTACTATTGGCGACGGTCATCCTTCTGGTGAACTCTTAGTTCAACCAATTTACGTTCCATGTCAAGTAGGTGTCTTTCACACACCATCTGGCGTACCCGGAGCTCTATGACTTTGGCTCGTGATTCGGCCAGTGCTTGCAGTAGGGTTTCACGGTTTCTCTCTAATCTCTTGTGGGCATCTTCTAGATGAATGGTGTGGAGGGTATGCATTCTAGCATAGGCAACAACTTCTGTAATCTGATGTAGGGCTGCCCTGCCTTGAATCTCATTTCAGGCCACTCTGCGGACCAAGATTGGCAAGACTCTATCTGTTGAGCCCCCATTGCTCAAGTCGTAAAAGCTTTGGTCGCTATCAAATGGCATAGACTGATCTTTTCCTTGGCTCCATGTTTCCAAGCATTCCACTCACTCAGGGTCGGGCCACAAAAAAAAAACCGGACGAGGGTTAGGAATTGGAAAGGGAGCTGCTCGGGGTAGGTTTTCAACCTCTGCTTCGGAGTTAGCATCATACGAAAAGTCTTCATCATGGTGATCATTCAAGAGGAAAAAGATGATCATTCTCTGGTTATTCTCCAAACCAACCAGCTATGACTTCATTTGGAAGGTACTGGTTGTCGAGGGGATGGAGTCCAGTTATGTTTTCTATGCGAGAATTTAGGGTAAGAGAATAATTATTAGACGAACTATCTAGATAATTATTTAGAAAACCTTCATTAGTTTCATCGCTATTTGTGAAGTGCATACCAGCTATGTGTAATCTAAACAGGATAAACCTTCGCATAAGTGACCTTAATTCCAAATTCACACAGAATAGGGGTAAGGCAAAATTATCACAGATTCTAAGTCTATAACATCCTAATTACATATAGCCTTAGTGTATCCACTTAGCAACTATCAACTTAGTAATGAAGATCCCGTTTTAAATTCTCAAGTATAAAGTACTTTTAGTAACACCAAATACTCCTATAGTATTTTATATTTTAATGTTATGTTCTATTGTTCTCATTGTGGTAGGGTTGGTACGATTTTTGCATTGTTGCAACCACACACTTAAACTTAGGCACATGCTAGTCAACCCTCAGATAATATAGGTGATCAGGCTATATCTTCCCAGTTTTGACCATATGTCTCTAAGCCCACTTGTATTGTCCAACAATCGTAATTCTTTTGTACTGTCCTAGTGACACTGATTTTAGTATGAATGCAACACGTATACTTACTTAAATATTTTATTATTTAAAGTATAAACTCTTGGTCAGAGTATTTTTAATCCCTTATGTATTTATAGTTTAGTATATCTTTTATGGGTTGATATACTTAATTCACTATAAACAATGCTCTGATACCAATCTGTCACACCCCAAAACCAGGAACGACGAAAACGTTATGGGGCGGAGGACGTCATGTATAAAATCAACAACAATGTAAAGTAGTAAACAAGCAACAACAATGCGAATCCGGCTGCATATTACAAAGAGTGCACTTGAGATTCTTATTTTTGTCCCAAAATCTCATTCTATCCTGAGTCATCAGTCTCTCCTGGATAGCCAGCCATAAAGTGAAGCTGAGTCTAGGAATGCGTTGTTTGAACCAAACAAGATGCACCCAAGGAACCTTTTGACCACAATTGCTAAGATCAAGCCACACTTGATTAATATCAAACTCCACCTCTTAACCATCCCTTTTTCTCCATAAAACTCTATCAGCCACCATAGGATCCATAAACGGCAATTGGAAGTCATTCAGCGGAGGAATGAGAGTGAGCCACTCAGGAGGCCAAAACCAGGAATTGTCAATAATAACATCCTTAATCTTGTTAGTGATTCTAAACCCTGCACTAGCAATCTCTCTAGGAGAGAGGACATAAAAGAAAGCACCAAGATGATGCCAATCATCATACCACATAAAGGTATTCGCTCCATTCCCAACCTTAGTACAAAAATGATTTCTAAAGTTGGGTTGCCATTTAATTAAGTTTCTCCAAGTCCAGCTCAGATCTTGTTTTTCCTCAACATCCCAAAAACATCTGCCTTTTAGAACATAAATATTGATCCATTTCACCCAAAGAGAGTCATAATTGGAAATAATCATCCAAATTCTCTTGGATAAAATTGTTTTATTCCAAGCTCCAAGATTTCTAAGACCCAAACCCCCATGCTCCACAGGTTTACAAATTGAAGACCAAGCAACTTTTGCCCTTCCCTTTTTGGACTCATCACAATCCCAAAGAAAATTCTTCATCAGTTTCTCTATTTCGTTAGTAATAGCAGCCGGGATAAAAGAGACAAGAAGCCCAATAAACAGGAAGGGAATAGAGAACTGAAGAGATAAGCTGAAGCCTTCCTACATATGAAAGATATTTGTTCCTCCAGTCGCCAATTCTGCATCGGACTTTATCAACAAGTCTTTTGCAATCTCGAATAAATAGCCTTGTAGAAATGAGAGGAATACCCATGTATCTCATCGGGAGCTTCCCTTCAACAAAAGGTAAGGTATCAAGAATTTTCCTCTTCACATGAGCCTTAATATTCCCAAAGAAAATATGGCTTTTAGAGAAATTGGGATGAAGACCCGCCACCCTAGCAAATTCATCAAGACTATCTTTAATAACCCTGAGAGAGATTTTATTTCCATGACAGAAAATCATTAAATCATCCGCAAAACATAAGTGAGTGAGCTTCAATTTCTTGCATCTCCAATGATATTCGAAAAACGACTCATTCTTTATTCTCCTTTGAAAGATCAAATTAAAAGTTTCCATCACCAGGGTAAAAAGATTAGGAGAGAGAGGAAAACCATGTCTAAGACCTCTTTTTCCTTCAAAATACCCCTGAAAGGAGCCATTTATACTAAGCATATATGACGGAGTACTCACACATTGCATGATCCACTTTATTATAGCCAGATGAAACCCAAAATGAAAAAGAATATTCTAAAGAAATGACCAGTTAACAGTGTCGTAAGCTTTCTGAATATCCACCTTAAGAGCACATCTAGAAAACCCTCTGTCTCTGTGATAACCTCTAACCAACTCTTGAGAAAGAAGAATATTGTCAGTGATAGATGTTCCAGGAATAAACGCAGACTGATTATCAGCATCAATGGCTCCAAGATGACTTCTTAATCTTCCAACAATAATCTTACTGATGCATTTGTAGATAACAGAACAACAAGAAATGGGTCTGAAATCACTCACTTTTCCAGGAGAGTCAACTTTAGGAACTAAAGCAATGACAGTGGCATTAACTTCTTTAAGAATTTTTCCATTAGCAAAAAATTCTTTGACAGCCATACAGAAATCCTCACCAATAATCGACCACATAGCTTTAAATTTTTTTGCAGAAAACCCATCCGGTCCAGGAGCTTTATCATCATCAATATCAAAGAGGGCTGCTTTCATTTCTTCATTAGTGACTATCTTGACCATCTCCACAACATCAACAAGGTCAAGTTTTTCTGAAAAAAGAGAGTCTGGCAGCGAAATCTCCTCACGAGGCTCCTCTTTCCAAAGAAAGTCATGAAAGTAATCAATAAATTCTTTGTAAACATCTTCACCTTCCAGCGACTCCCCTTGACGATTCATAACAGCTTCAATTCTACTTTTGTGAGCTTTCCCTTTAAAAATTCTATGAAAAAATTTGGAATTACTATCTCCTTCTTTCAACCAATTAATTTTAGCTTTCTGTTTCAGAAACCACTCCTCCATATCATAAGCTTTTTTAAATTCACCAAGAAAAATGGCTTCCAGATCACGAAGAAGAGGGTTGAAGGGATCCGAATCCAAATCCATTTGAATCGCTTCAAGCTCTTTTCGATAGTGATTAACATTCTCATAAAAATGTCCCTGGACTTTTAACAGATTGCGGATGGGTTTTTTAAGGAAATTTAGATTTTGAGATAAACAAAACATCTTAACTCCATGGACTTCAACATTCCAGAGCTTTCCAACTAAGTCTTTCAATTCAGGTTTCAAAGTAAGAATATTCGGAAATTTAAAAGGAAGAACTTTGAACTTGGCTCTAACCGGAATCTTAATAACAACCGGGCTATGATCAGACAACCCATAAGGAAGAAAAGAAGCGTGAATGGAAGGAAAATCTTCAATTAATCTACTATTTCCCATCACCCTGTCCAGCTTTTTCAAAATACCATTACTTCCTTGCGGCTTTTGATTCCATGTGAAATTTAAACCATTGCTGTTGATATCTTGAATTTCAAGGGAGTTAATGCATTCAATAAAGTCCACCATGCCTTTAGAATATCTAGAAGATCCAGCAGTTCTTTCATTAATGTTAAGAATAACATTGAAATCTCCACCAACCAACTAGGGATCATCACGAACTAAGCCTTTATGATGAACAAGAGCAGACCATAAGGATCTTCTATCAATGTACTTGTTAGCAGCATAGACAATCGAACAAAAAACATATTTATTGTTAAGAGGAAAGCTAACTTTATAATGAAAAACTTGATCATTGTGATCAATCAAATTAACATCAAAAAGACTAGAATTCCACCCAATGATAATACGGGAAGTAAGACCAAAACTTCCTTTATTAGCAATCCACTTCCATGATCCAAATATCTTATCACACTTCTCTTCAAGTTTACTAAAACTGGCTTGAGGCTCAAGAACAGCTAATAAAATCAAATTATTCAACTGAATTAACTTTTTGATTTCTCTTTGCTTAGGAGACTGATTAAAGCCCCTAACATTCCAAATCCCAAAACTAAGCGTCATTGGGAAAAGACTCCATGTTGGTATCATCAAATGGGATACCACCTATAACTTCCATTTGATCAACAATGTCCAAATAATCAAGATCAACTTCTTGAACACCCCTTTTAGTAAAAAACCACTTGATTTTCATCTTCCAAATCCTTTAAAACATCAAATTTATTGTTAGAAAAAATATTCACAGGAACTTGACATTTCTCATCTTGAAGGATTTTATCAAAATTAGAACTAATTTTGAAATCAGCACCAGACTTAGGAATATACTTCAGCCCGCTATCAGTCTTTTTTCCCACTTCAAATATCTTTTTAGGTTCCTGTAAGGAATTGATCGCAGGAGGAATCCCCTGAATATTATTTCCACCTGAACCAACCCCTGAATTGTTAGCTTTATCCGAATAACTAGAGCTTTTACTATTCTGCCCCTGTTCGAATCTAGTGCCATTTGTTCTTCCATTCACAACCTGATTTTTCCCATTATACCCTTGAAGTCCTTTTCCCTTATTCCATTGATTTCCGCCAAAAGTATTTCCATTTTTAGCTAAATTATTCCCTTTTTTCCTCTGACTTCCAGCAGAATTTCCAACCAAATTCTTTCCATTTCCCTAATTTTTCCCATTTTGCCCTTGAAAAGAAATCTGATTTTTATTCCCTAATCCTTCCTTAGCCTTTTCTCCCATATTAATTCCCTTATTCATAATAACCACAGTTTGAAACCCTTCATTATCCTCATCAACTTTTTTAGAGCTCACAATAAGAACCTCCATCAGGTCAACTTTGATGCCTTCCTTTTTTTTGATCACTAGAGATAGAATTCCCTATATCTTTGACATCCTTTGCTAGTAAAATTATACAAGTAGTATCCTTATGCCCATATACCTTACAATGAGAACATTTGGAAGGAGAACATTTGGAAGGATTCCAAGCATACTCAATCTTACACTTTGACAGGATTCTTTCGCCAATAGTAAGATCCGAAGAATAGACATGTACTTCTTTAAGCCAGTCTTTAGCAGTAGACATCTCAATTAAAATTATCATAAAGGCCGGTCTTCCCCAATGTTCTTGACACATCTTCACTGTATGAGCATCAACATCAAGAGGCTTCCCTATCTCCCAAGAAATATGGCTCAACCCTATCCCATTCCAATATTCTAAAGGAACATTATATATCTTTACCCAAACTCGAACTTTATCATGTTGATCTTTAACTGAGCTCACACCAGTGTTCCATCTCCTAACAGTAAGGGCACTGTCAAAAATCATCCAAACTCCTTCCAAAACAGAAACCATTCCTTGTTCAGAGCTAAATCTAAAAAAATAAATCCCCTCATCGTTTACCATGACTTCTTCCAATCCGTGCTTCTTCCACATATTATGAGCAAATTTGTTGACATTAAAAATATTGACATGCTTATCAATAAAATACCCATAAAGAGTAGTCTTGAAGGGGCTGCATCCTTTCAGAATGTCGCTTAAAGGCATTTCCACAACTCCATTTGGAAGTTCAACATTTTTTTAATTTTAGAAATAAGATTTGTTGCATTAAGTTTCTTTCCACTTACCTTCTCAGCATAAGTAACTGAAGTATTTTTCTCCGCTTCCACTGGTGTAGGCATAGGGATTGATTTCTCCTCTTCACTCTTTAATTTCCTTAACTTCATTTGCTCCAGCATTTCCTCGGTAATAAGAAGGCCTCCATTGCTATTACAACTATTCAAGCTAATGTCTTCCTTTCCATCAATAACCATTTGAGCACTGAATTCCTTCTCATCAGCATCTTCATATTTGAATTTAAATTCCCCTTCATTGGCAATTTCAATATGACTAAACTTGCTTGGAAAATGATAAACAATTTCATTACAAACTTGTTCAAGCTGCCTACTAACCAACTCATCAATTTCAATCTTTTTTTAGTCTTATTCTCCTTAACCTGTGATTGCATAGAACAGAGCTTTTGAAGATCAACAACCACAGGTTCATTAGAGCTTGAAACAGGGACTCCTTCGGGGATAATTTTCAAAACGGTTTCACCAACTTTCTGCAATCCATCCGAAGCTTCAAGTTCAGATGTCTTCTTCATATCTATCGCCACAGGAAACAACGAAGAAGAAGGTCTGAATGGCACACGATTCTTTCCAAAATTAGCTTCCACCTGCTTCTTAATTTTGCTAGTACATAGTTTATGGAACACCTTCTCCTTCTTCTTTTGATTAAGATCTTTCCAATTCATAAGAATATCGTTTCTTTGGCTTATAGAGGAGAGTTTTCTAATGTTATCAATTGAATCATCAAAGGCAGAATCAGACTCACCTTCATGGTTGTATTTCTTCTTGGTAAACCGAAGTCCATGAACAAATCCTTCCTTCTCATTAGTAGTTAACCCATTCCAAAAACACAACATCGCATCCTTCTCTCCATGACTACAAAAAAGAGCGATATCATTTTCAAATTCACGAACAGGGGTACTTAATCCTTCAATCAATCCTTCATCCTTCTTAATATGGATAGAATTAATCAAAGGATCCATAGGAGGAGCAACAAAATTGATAGAAAAAGAATTAGAAGCGTTCTCAATCCCAGTCCCGCCATTGATAATGTTGCCAATCTTACCCTCATCCTTAATCTCAGAAGAATTAACATTGGAATCAAATTTTTTGACCAAAAGTGACACCGATTTAGGAGGAATAGGGCTAGCAATCTTCTGCTGAACGGTATTAGAATCTTCTTTAGTCTTGTTCTTCGAGTTCACATTTTTCCCTTTTTTCCTCATTATTACGTCGGGTTCCAGATCAGGAGGAACTCCTTCCATAAATTCGAACAATTAGTATCCACAAAACGAGCAGGAGATAACGAACAAATTAAGATTAAAATCAATGGAAACTGTTGCTGGAATAACGATCGGTGCCGGAAAAACGGTTAAAAAAACGGGGAAATAGCCAAATCGCCAGAGAAGAGAGAGAAACGAGTTTAGGGTTTAGGGTTTAGGGTTTTAGGGCTTAGGGTTTAGGGTTTAGGGTTTAGGGTTTAGGGTTTAGGGTTTGGGTTTTAGGGTTTAGGGTTTAGGGTTTTAGGGTTTAGGGTTTAGGGTTTAGGGTTTAGGCCTTATGGTTTAGGGTTTAGGGTTTTTGTTTTTTGGAAAAAGGGGAATCCCCTTGGCAAAATATATTAAGAATAGGAAGAGTTACAATAGAAAAGGGTAAACGCCGAATAAAAAGAAAAAATACTAGTCATTCTAAGGGACGTGCCCTAAAGCAAGGACAAAACAAACAAACAACTAGAAACTAACTAAAAAAAACTAAATTCGTCATCCCTGATCAATTGGAGAAGAGATACAACCACCATGAGAAGAGCTCGACAGTGCGTCAGAAGCTGGGTGTGTAGTACTCAGACTAATAATAGGAGGGACACGAGAATCATCATCAATATCATCTACTCTTTAATGGGAAAGAGCATCAAACATGTTAGTGGAAACTTTTTTCTTTGGCTCTACACGAGTAACTGGTTTATAGACTTGAGATATATTTATAGCGGGGCCTTTTCCTTTATGGTTGTTGATGGGTATCTTCTTTTTTGGATTTGGAAATGATTGAGATCTCCTCTTGACCGTTTGATATACTTCATTATCAACTTCTTTTGGGGTGGGCATAGCCGACTTTGGGTCGGGGGAGCTAATCGTGTGAGTGGGACACGTGGCATGGCCATGACCAAAGATTTTGCAATGATCGCATCTCTTAGGGATCCAAGAATGCTCCACTCTAAGCGTTGTAGAAGTAGAACCTTTAGCCGTGATCGCTTTGATTTTTATTTCTTTTGCCCAAGGATCTTTAGCCGACATTTCTATGAGAATGCGAGCATAAACCGCACGACCCATAGCCCGCTCACACATGGTTGTGGTATAAGATTCAACCTCTAAAGGCTTTCCAAGTTTGCTAGCAATAAGACTCAAACCATCCTTGTTAAAGAGTTGAAGGGGGATTCCAAAAATATTAACCCAAACGGGCACCCGGTCATGAGTTGGCTTTTCAATGAAGACTTGGGATCCCATTTGCGGAGAAAGAGCGGGAAACCATTAATCCTCCAAATACTCTTTTGAAGAACGAAATTCATGCCAACGATGTTATCAAATTTGAAGAAGAACACGTCATCGCTATTTATAAAAATGTCATATAGCCCATGTTCCTTCCATAATTCAAACACTCGGTCTCTAACAAACGGGAATGCGAGTCTATCTCTAACGAAATAACCATAAAGTGTTTGTTCGAATGGAATGCTACCCTTATCCATAATTGAGGGGGGAATAAGGATTTGATCATGTTCTAAAATTTCAATATTATCAATGAAATCAAGAGAAAGAGGTTTAAGGAGATTACCCTCATTGTAATTTAAACCATGCACAGGATCGACGTCGCTGGAGGAAACAGGGGACGTCGAAATGGGCTTAAGAGGAGGAGGGGCATCCACAGAAACACGACCCAATACTATGTCGGCAAAGGAGCATTCATTTTGAACAAATTTTGGGTTGTTGGGCCCAAAAGAAAGGGGTTGAAGGATTGGGTCCAAACCACGAGATTGAGTGGGTGGAGAATTAGGATCCATGCTATCATTAGCTTCACTAGGTGGAAAGGGTATGGGGACAAAATGGTGAGGGTTTCCAGGAGCATTAATTCTAGTGTCCCCTTTTTTGTCACAGCCAATAGAGTGCATTGGGAGGGGGTCCTTTGAAGGCGACGTGGCTATCCCACCAATTCCACTTAAGGAAGGGAAATTAATGCAGTCATTATTTAAGGAAGCCACGTTTCCCTCCTTTAAATTATCTTGCCTTTGACTTTCCAAATAAAAGTTATTCACTGAGGGAGCATTTAATGCATTTTCTTGGGGATGATTCGATGGCAGATGAATCGCAGCTCCAAAGCTTAAATTAGTAAAGATAATCTCCGCATTCTCCCCACTGACATTTTGACTAATCATGCGAGGAGGCGAAACGACACACGGGTTCAGAACCACAATCTTTCCTTTACCCAAATTAGATGCGAAACCCTCGACATCTTCTCCTAAAAGAGTTTGACTTCCTAAACGAGGAGTGTGACAACCCTAAATTTCCATTCGGTCAAACCCTAAAAGTCAACCACTTCGTAGCATAAGTCAATGTCATTATGTCACACCCCGAAAACCGAAGGCGGAATACATTTCCGGGGTTGACTACCGTGTTGAGTATCAAATCCAATGTACATAGTAAGTAAAGTAAAACAAGCATTACATTACATAATAACAGTTTTACAGTTGTTTCAAAAGTAAAGTTTGTACAGTTGTGATACATAGTATATATAGACAAAATGTAACGGGTCTTCATGTACACCGTCTTCATGCAAAATGATCTTCGGGTACCTGTTCTAACGCTGACCTGAGAACACAAGCGGTTTGAAAATCAGCATAAAGCTGGTGAGTTCATAAGCGATTTTGTTTTACGGAAATGTATCGGTTTCCTTTCTGTTTCTGAAATGTTATGTACACCAAGAAAATCCCGTATTTTCTTAAAAGTTGGTTATTGTTTCACAAATGTAAAGTATAGTAAGTTTGTACACTGAAAACATGTTTACTCATGTGAAAATGTATAGTTGGTTATCTGACTGGTTAAACTGTTCTGTATACTTATCATGTATTACCAGGAAAGTCCCATACTTTCCTTATTGTATGTTACAAATTGTAAAAGATGTAATGTTATCCATTCTGTGACTCTTTCTAGTTATGTAAGTGTTACCCAGGAAAGCCCCATGCTTTCCTGCATGTATGTATCTTATGTAAACGATGTGAAAGATGTAAAAGATGTAATCGTGATTAGATTCCATGTTTTCCCCAGGAAGGTCCCGTACCTTCCTGCATGTTAGTTACAGTAAGTAAAAGATGTAAGCGATGTAAACGATGTATAAAGTAATCCATTATTACTGTAAGTAAATCTCTGTTATCCTAATTGCGAGTTCCATAACCATACAATAGACTGAAACCTGTGACAATAAGTAGTCCACATGTGGCAATAAGTCGTCCACATATTTATGACTTTCGTCACCCTTGAACCATTTCGGTTCGGCTGTAGCTAGCAGCCAGGTGTGGGGTAGTCAGCCCCGTATAGATCTATACACTCAAGTCACGCTCTCTAAATACCAGAGATTCTGGTTATGGGTGTAGTCCTCCACTCGCGTAATCCAGGTGGAGTGTTCTCCGAGGACGTGTCTCCAATCATACCGGAATAACAAATTTACTAGTAATAATATGAAAGTCCTCCACTCGCGTAAGTGTGGGGAGTGTTACCGAGGACAAAACAGTGTACAGGTATTATATTCAAATATTTTAATGTCATGCTTTTAACTGATAAAATGTGGAAAAAAAAACCATTTGTGAAATACATGTAAAACATATTAGTTTAAAGACTTATTTCACAAATATATGTTACGTGATCTGTATGTTCGATCTGTTATCAGTTGTAGTTATCAGTTATAAAAGCATAAGAATATGAAACACACATTTGAAAACATGTTATGAGTACAAGAATTCCCTTGTACTTTGCTTGTGTTCCCCCCTGAAAACAGTGAAAATAGTGAAAAAGGGTAGGGGTATGAACTCACCGGACTCGGAAACGTGTCGGTTTTGAATGCTATACGTCGGTTCGGGGTTTGATTACTCGTGATGACCCTATGTAAAATGATATAATGTCCATATATATATATATATATATATATATATATATATATATATATATATATATATATATATATATATATATATATATCCAATGATTAATACACTTCAAAACATTGGAGTGACCCGGGTGACATCTTTGGATTTGTAATGACACAAGGGACTTGGGACTTGAGTTTACTCCCATAAGTAAACATTTTAAAGAGTTTACAACATTGGAACACCCACATACATGAGTTTACGGCCGTAAACTCATGTGGGTGAGGTTTTGGTGTTTTAAGGGCTCAAATGGACTTAGGGATTGCTAGAAATAATTATCTAAACACCTTGGAACACTTGGAATAGATTTAAAACATTTAAAACATGAGTTTACGGCCACACTCATAGAGTTTACGGCCGTGAACTCACAATGGCTAAGAAAAATTGATTTAAGCTACTTAGGGCAATCACATGTGATTCAAACTAATTTTCTAAGCATTGTTATGAATTTAGAACATCAATTAAGACCTTTGTTGGAGTTTATGGCCTAGAGGTATGTTCTAAGGCCGTAAACTCTCTTTTATCTTTGAAAAAGATAGTTTTTGGTGTTTAAAACAATCACATGTGATTCTAGAAATTTGTACAAGCCATTTGGGTGTGTTTGATGCATCTTAACATTGTTTTATGAGTTTACGGCCAAGGGTATGTTCCTAGGCTGTAAACTCTCATAAATCATACTTTTGTTGTGTTTCAATCCTTTAAACCATTTTTAGATGCATCTAGATTTTACCACAAAGCTATAGATTGAGTTTGGAAGCATTTGAATATGTTTAAAGGCCTTAAATCACCCTTTTAGAGGAGTTTACGGCCCAAGAGTATGTCTTGGCCGTAAACTCTTCTTTATTACTCAAAAATCAAGTTTAAAGTGTTCCAAGTCTAGATTAGCAAATCCATGGTTCATGTCTAAGTCCCAACTAGGTTTTGGAAGGGTTAATTGGCTTAAATACCCCTTGTATATGAGTTTACGGCCCAAGAATGTTCCTTGGCCGTAAACTCACTTTTGTCCCTCTAAATCCATGTTCTACATGTTATAAGTTCTTCCCTTTAAGCCCTTAAGTCATATCTAGTGTCCAACTATGCAAAGGAAGGGTTTTAGGGCTTAAAAAACCCTTGAAATATGAGTTTACGGCCCATGAATGTTCTATGGCCGTAAACTCATGAATGTTGGCCTAATTCATGATTTGAACTCGAATTTGGATGCCAAATATGTTAGAGATTAAGGCTAGGAAGGTACCTTAGAGATTAGAAGCCTAAATTTTGGGTTTTGATCTCTTAAACTTGGATTAGGAGAGAGGTGGGAAATGTTTAGTGATAATTTGGCAAAAGGCTTCAAATGAAGTCCTAAACATGTTTATATAGTGTTTAGGTTTTGGACACGGTGGAATTCTACCCGATACCGGCGTTAGACGAGGTTTTTGGTCGTACCCGATTGAGTTACCGTAACCCGATACGGTAAATTTTAGAATTATTCCGATCACTAAAGTTGAGTGTTAAAATGATTTCTAAATGTATTAAGACACCCATTAAGTCATTTTAAATGTGTACTAATTAATGACTTAATTAAACGGAGAAATCGGAAATCGGAAATCGGAAATCGGAACGACGATCGGTTGTGCGAGTTGATTTATGAAAAAGTTACATTGAAATGAAGCGGAAATTTCGGGTTGTTACATTATCCCCCTGTTAAAGGGAATTTCGTCCCGAAATTCAAGTTTAGAACATAAGACAAGATACAAGTCATGGATAAGAAAAGAGTTGTGGATACTTCTGTTTCATTGAGTCTTCCCGTTCCCAACTGAATTCCGGTCCCCACTTGGCATTCCAGCGAACCTTCACTAACGGGATGCGACTTTGTTTTGTACATTTGACTTTTCGATCCATGATTTCGATCGGTTCCTCCACAAAGTTGAGTTTTTCATTGATCTCGATCTCGTCTAAGGGAATTGTTAGGGTTTCATCGGATAGGCACTTTTTAAGATTTGAAACATGAAAGACAGGATGAATGTTACTGAGTTCGTGAGGTGAATGAAGTTTATAGGCAACTGGACCAATCCTGGAGAGGATCTCAAAGGGTCCAATATACCTTGGATTAAGTTTCCCACGCTTGCCAAAGCGTACAGTGCCTTTCCAGGGCGAGACTTTTAACAGGACACG